GAAAACTTTAACTCCGACTTTATCTGTTCAAAAAAAGGAAAACCATTCTACGTGAAATTTTACATGAACGCTTGCTGTCCTGAGCAAATTAAATACACATCGCATTCCACTTTGAAGCGAATGCGTGTGCTAGTATGGAAGGATAGACCCCAGATCGATCATCGCTATTTCTAGTAAAATCATTGCTATTTCTGCGATCTCACCAAGTTTTTAAATTCTTTTTGCGGAGCTTGATATCAAAGATGCTCGATACCACACAGAACTTCTTCATTGGTAAATGGAAACATTTAGGTAAATGGAAATATAGGTAATATTGACGTGCTTATGCAGCTTGTTTTCTTAGCTCCTGTTGGCCTCTAATTTTAAGGTTACCAAGGTAAGCAATCATCTCAATTTTTGACTAAAAACTTAAATCCAAATCGTTTGAAGCACATATAGGCAGCAGTATGATATTGAATCTTGTCGTTTTGAAGCATTAAATCGATTGTTGTGGGTGCCTAGAAACTTGTATCGTTAAAAAAGTCGCTTTGCTGATAGATGAAGTATATCGTTGCGCAAATTCTAAGTAGCATATTGTTGCCTATCTTCTTAAACGTATAAGTTTCACGAGCCCAAATTTTTTATGATCAAAAAAGAAATGCAACAAGAATTAGCTTACTCTGATCTTTTCTGTTCAGCTCAAAATGGCCCAAACTCCCCCAAAATGAATCATCTCGTTCTTTTTTCTTAGCGGCCTTACGAGACAATTCTGATGACTGCTCACAGATGATCAATGGATTTTCTTGTTTGGATCACATCCACTCCTCAAAAATTTCAAAGCATGATTCAATCTGGTTCATCGCTACAAAAAAAGTTGTGACCACATTATCGCAGTAAGTAGAATAAATGTGCTGTCTGTTCTGAGTTAGAACAAGGACTTAATGATAAATTGTTGCTGACTTGAAAATTTCGCTACTGACGTGATCCAAACAATATTTACATTTTTTGCTTATATATGCTCAATATACTACGAAAACAATGACGTTGGGCGATCTTCCATTGTTCGAGGGATCTGTCCCCGTGGGAGCTCGACACTTTGACCATTTCGCCACAGACCAAAGAGGACACGTCGTAATTTTTTGGCTCTCCCGTGGCGAGCTGAGATAGTTGACGAAATCGCTGACTAAAATTTGGTACGAGTGGCTCACAGAAGAGTTTCGCTTTTAAGCCTCGTAATATGTAGAAAAAGTCTACGAGTTTAGTATAATAACGGATTACATACTCTTTGAATCATTGGGGTTCGCTCCTGGCCCGTCGTCGCCAGCCTCCAAAAGGATATAGCTTACGCTTGAATAGAAAACGCAACATTTCGTTCACATTATCTTTCAAATGCACGTGTTATCCGCAATTGCATCCGGCATCTCATTGAGGGCGCTGCGGAAGATACGGAATTTTGGCGAGCTTGGTCGTCTTTGACACGATTTTTTGACTGCTTAGACCGTGGTGCAATTGTCGACCCTTCACCAAGAGTTGCTCTGTTATTCACTCTCTCGAGCTTTCTCGGTAACGATACCTCGTCAATGCAGGTCCTTTCATGCTTTGAAAATACATATCAGTGCACGGTCGACACGATGAACTCCGGGTTCTTCCAGAAAATTTTTTCATTCCGTCATTATGGCCGAAAAAAATGTATCTTTGGGCAGCGGTATTAGCAATAGATCTAGGCAAGATCTAATGACTTATTCACCGCTCAGAGCTGCTGCAGAGATCTCGACGGTCAGAAGGAGCTGGTGTTCTTGGCTCCAAATTCGGCGCTGGTGGATGTGTGAAATCTTGGAGAGCTGGAACCTCGAAATGATAAAGCCTTACAAGTTACTTAACGCGGTAGTATTCGGATTCATTGATAAATGCACGCTTTTGCTCTATACTTATTCAATTTCTCACAACAATTTACTGCGCAAGTACCTTACACTGGACACTGTCACTAAATTGCAACATAAGCTCTCAACCACTTTGTCGATGTCTCGTTGGGTGCAAGTTCTTCTGCAACCGAGTACTTTATCTGATTCAAAGCCTAATTATATGTCCGTGAGTGAAAAATCGGACAAAACAGCTAGCGATAGCTTAAGAAATGGTGAAGAATGGGAAGAAGATCAACTTGTAATTGTGTTTTATTATTTTCAGTCGTAACACAATACAATCGAAATTTAATGTTAATACAATTCACTACTTGGAATGGTGGGTTGATTTTTTGTCAGATACTATTGTAGCGGGTAACAAAGTCTCCAAAGCCATTAACAATCATGTCCGTTTGTGAATTTACGTTGTTATCAATGCCGCCCGTAATAATTTTCACATCTACAGAAATAAAAGGAATACAGAAATGAGGACACGGCAGATAATAAACAAGACTGAAGCTTTCGCATTCCAGAAGCAGTTCTTACGCGGAAATCGGTTGCTGATGTGGACAATACCATCCGAAGCCACCAATAGTACGACCAACGAAATACTTTGTTCGTCACAGCCGAGGCCGCACAAAGCCTAAAGAGAAGCCAAAACCAGTTTAGTTTTCACACAGACTTCCAGCTTAGTTCGTCAACGTACCTCAATCGCTTTACATTCAGTATTTCCTGAGCTGCATGAAGAAGAAAAAAGCAAAACCTTGTGCTGCGTGATATCGGCCGGTAAGTCCATATGTTCCAAACGCCAAACGCGCTGACCTTGTTTTCCTGTCCCACTCTGGACGTGGATCGAACCTTGTGGAGCGTCTGGCTCCATTTGATGAAAAAGTACAAGAAACGGTGAGCCTTCCGCGCCAATAGCTACACCACAAAAATTCTGGCGTAGCTCCAAGCCCTGATACATATGGCCGTTGTCTGTCTTGACCTCCACGTTCTCGGCGCATAAGCCTGCGAGAGCTTCTTCTAGAACAATCCTAAAAATCTCGTCTTTAGTTTGTATCCGTTAAAGAATAAAGCATCATGAAAGACTGACATTATTAACCGACCAGCCACGCGACGAAATGTAGCTCCACTTGACCGATTATCACGCAATATCGTCAGCAAAAGTAATACAGATGTGGCACGAACTTGGTGAACCATTTTCTCAACGCCTGGTGGCCCGAAGGAGCTTTCACTATAAGTACAACAATATGAAAGTTACTGATAAGAAAAGAACATTCATCTTACCGCGACGTATTGTTTTACCTTTCCTGAGCAGACTTTACCATTGAGTTGTAACGGGAAAGAATTTCCAAGCGATTTTTCTTTATGTGACAAATGGCAGCTCGCGTCACGCCAAACTCGCGGGCCAGTGCTGCCTGTTTTTCACCGTTTTCAATCCTTTTGATTATGTTATGTCGGTCAATTTCACGCAGGTAGCGCACACGCTTAAGATTCTTTCTTTCAACTTCACCGTCAACGTCATCTTCATTGTCAGTCGATTGTGTCTTGGAACTGCTCGACGTTTGATTCAAATTTGACTTGCCAGTAGAAAGTGAAGACCAATCGGTCTGTTCTTTTGCGTTGAAATGATGTAGTGATACTGGAAGATCACGTGGAGATACTGATCGCGAGTGGTGTTGATGAGCGAAGTTGTCTGAAGTCCGATAGATCTGATCGTTTTGAGGAATTTGAGTCGAAAATGTCGTACGCTTTTCTATCATATGTGAGTCCTTATTGAGATGTTGTCCATAATTTGAAGTATCTCTTCTTGTCGAATACATCTCGTCGTCTCTTAGTCGTTCAAAATGGTTCATTTTAGGAACAAAGTACTCACGCGTAATTTTTTTGTCAAGCTGTCGCTCGCGAAGTTCATTAAAAAGAATTTCACGTTCATAAAAGTCTGTCGTGCGCTGTTCGCTACTATGGCGCGCATCAAACACCGGGATAACTGTAGCCGTTTCATTGTTTAGCACTTGACTAGTGGCAGAGAACTCACGTTCTGTGACTTGAGTAGCAGCACCATTTTGAACTTGTGCTCGAAGTGCTGCAGCAGCGTTTGCCAGACTGCGTGCAACCGAAGAAGAACGTGTGGGACGTGCATGTGGAGATGCCATGGCAGCAAAGAGATACCGCAAATATCAAGGGGGGGGTTGGGTCTCTTCTTAAAAAAAAGAGCATTTTCCTAGCGGTCGTCATACTATCCAGTTTTACTTTTGATACTGTAGAGGATGCGTTGGATAGAAGAAAACAATAATAATGTTGTAGGTTTACATGTCTATGTAAACCAGCAGAAATGTACTCAATCATTGCTTTGGGTTAGCTTGACTTATATAATGATGAGCGTATGAGAGAAAGTGACCACGACTTCAATTAGTGACGGTATGGTTGAACATGGAGAAGATATCATTTGCCGATTATGTCTTTCGTCAAGGTGGTAATAGGTTCATTTATCGCCGAGACGGTGTTTTGGCCTGTATTATGGGTGGAATACTACACGATATTTCTTCTAAAAGCTTTGAATCTTTGCGTTTTTAACACAGAACTAAAACATTCACAACACAATGATTTCAATCTGTATTTTTTCATTTTGCTGACTCAATAATTTTCAAACTTTAATTTTTAGATATAAACCATGTGGTGACGGATGGGTGACAAGTATTGCCCTCGGATAAAAGAGTGCGTCATAAAAAAGTCCTGGTTTCTGCAGAAAAACTACGTGACACATCGATGTGCCTTACCAAGAGGCTCAGTATGGCGTAAGGAGTGTCTGCCACCCTCGCGACTATTAGATATCTCTACTAACAAAAATAGCCCACTATTTTCTCCACTTCCATGACGGTGGACAGACGCTTAGCTTCCAGTTCGCTGCTACCGGCATGAAAAGTAATATGGCGATAAGCATGTACAACATTTCCAGTAAATGGATTAAATCATTTAGCGCAGCTTGGATTAAATCGGTGGTGCTACGTAGACTAAAGTGATCTCGAGCTTCGTATTTTTGGGTAGGCATAATAGCCAGAAGCGGTTCGGAGTCACTACGCTAATTTTTTTAGAATGGTGAGCGTACGCGAGGCCTTACCCGCCGTATTCGAGTACGACGAGATAGAGTATGCCGCGATTACGAATTGTAATCTCGCCCGTACGAATTCTCATCCACGGCAATTGGCTGGGCAGGTGTAAGCGAGGCAATGGTCAAAAGATAATTTCTGACCTATTTTTCAAGCAACATGTTCACGCAGAACAAAGCATCTAAGCTTCAGCTTTACATAAAGGTAGAAACGAAAAAAAGAAAAGTCATTAAGAGATCAATTCTCAAACATGACGATATGTACAATTTTAGAAACGACAAAACTTATGAGACGTCTTGACACAATATGGAAATATGTGCAATGTAACCGGGTTACAAGTACCCTGATAACAGGGGTTTGTGTCACACGAGATGTGCATGGTGTGAACAAGAATACGGTACGAGGCTGAAGCGACTGCTCCAAAACTTAAGCAGCGCTCAGTGGGTTTTGTGCCACTTCACGATCAGCCTGGAGCCACGCTCGGGACTCCTGTCCGATACACCGTTGGTGTCTGCCAATCCGGACATTTCAATGTCTAGCACGTTGACCGTCTCGGTCCAATGCTCTCGCCAATAGCGCTTTTGTCTCCTAGCAGAGAAGGGTTCATGACTCGCCAAAGCTGCACCAGGAGACGTGCGCGTAGCACTCAAGGTCTTTGACCTCCAATAAATCCATGGTTTATTGTGTTCCAAGCATGTCATTCCTAGGATAAGGTCATACCTTGTATCCAAGTCTGAGGCTAGACAGCCACGCTATCAAAGTCAAAAAACTTGACTCCGAGGTCCACAGGGACCTTCGGGACCGTGACACGTGTCCCCGGTAGCCAGTAGTTATGCACGTATTTAGATTTTACTATATATATTTAGTATATTTAGGAA